TATATTTCCACTGACAACTAAATGTTATCAAATGGTTTAGTAACATCTTCCTCAGTTTTGTCTGGTTGATTGTGCATGCTACAAATTATCTAAATGTTTGGATCCATGTATATTTTATCTTTAAAAAACTTGGTAATTTTTCAAGGCAGAACAAAAAGTTGCTTGCAAACAATATTTCCACTATAAATATTTGTATCTCTTAATCTTTGTTTCATGTCTCAATAGTTTTTGTTTCATGATTAATGTAAAATAATTATGATGGATTATGTTGACTTTTTTGGTTGACTCCAATGGGAATTCAGCTAGAGTTTACATCCATTTAATGTTTATTGTTTTTTAAGTTGCATGTCTTTTATCAGATATAATTGAATAGTCTTGTTTGGAGTTAACTTTCTTCTGGGACACTGGGGTATAGAATTTATTCCTCTAGATCCCTTGGTTTATCACTTATTCACTAACCATGTTAGAGCTTAGCCTAATTTCTCTCCTTTTTCCTGGTTATAGATCTTGGTTCCACAAAAATAAAGAGCTAAGAAAAGCTGGGTGCAGTAGTGCATGCCTGTAATCCCAGCTATTTGGGAAACTGAGGCAGGAGGATCCCAAGTTCAAAGCCAGTCTCAGCAATTTAGCAAGGCCCTAAGCAACTCAATGAGAACTGTCTCTAAATAAAATATAAAAAAGTGCTGGAGATGTGGCTCAGTGCTTAAGTACCTCTGGGTTCAATCCAGAAGAAGAAGGAAGAAAAAAAAAAAGAATAGAAAAGTGAAACTTGTAAGCCAAAGATAAGATTATGTAATCAAATTGAGAGATCAGGACAGAATTATAGGATGTGGACTCTATGCCCTCACCTCTCAACACACAAAGCATTAATTGGTTTACTTAGTGCTTAAGGAGGGGCTATAAAGAGGCTCCCAGCCTGCCAATGACTTCTTTTACTGCTTTTACTTTCCTGAGCTGCAGTTACTTATGTTTAACCTGTTGTCAAGAACAGACCCTTGTTCTTGATTCTTGCCCCTGGAGTTTGGGGTTTTAATATAAATTGTGCCCTTGAGATATTTGGTCCTGGTTTGCTGCTTTCTGGGCCCTCCTCTTAGTCCCTGTATCCTCAAGGGCCTAATGCTTTTAACATAATGGGAACAAAGTACTCTTTGGGGTTAACCAGGTACCTGCTGGGAATATACCCATTCAGTCTTGGTCCCAGAGGCAGAATAGCAAATAGACAGCTTTTTAATTCAGGTTCCTCAGGTGTTAATTCAGCCCTGCCTTTTAAATCATGGTCCTCATTATAGAAGGTTCTGAAGTTTTCCCATATCAAAACATCTTCAAGGCTGGGCTGTAGCTCAGTGGTAGAGCCTGCCTTTCATGTGTGAGTCATGGGTTCAATTCTCAGCACCACATAAAAATAAATAAACAAACAAACAAACAAACAAACAAATAAATAAATAAATTCTGTCCATCTACAACTAAAAAAAATATTTATATAAATATCTCCACTCTGTAGCCTTCTTAGAGTTACTCCTATTTCCTGCTTCACAAACTTTTTGAGAAACGTCTAAGTTTTACTTCTTTCTCCTGAATACTTTTCATCTCACTGCAACTTACTTTTGTGTCAACATCATATAAATAAATATTGCTTTTAATAGTGCCTCAAAATGGGCTGAAATTAAAATGTCAAAGGGATATGGAAATAAGTGAATGGGAAAAGGCAGGCAAATAAAAATAAACTAGTGTGACAGTATTAAAAACACATAAAGAAAAACATGGGCAAATGTAACATACCTGACAAAGAAGAATGGTTAATAAAAATAAAATAATGTATATTTCTTTTTTAAACTCCTGGAACATAGAGACAATAATTAACTGCACAATCTTTCTGTTGTGTCAGAGTTTTTGCTGGTACTCCAAGTTGGATGTTAGATGTTCATATATTTTCAAAGGAACCAAGACACATCTTCACAGAAGTTGTTGAGTGGCTTACAATCTGGGCTGCTACACCTTGACCTTGCAATTTATTTCTGAATGGACAAATAAATAAATGAAGAAAAATAACAAATAAAAATATATAAAGGTTTCAAGGCAATTCAAGGATAGTCTGGCATTGCAATTTACCAGTGTCATCTAAATTGCCTGATCCTTCATAATTACACTTAGCCCTTCAACCTGAGCCCCTATTTCTGGGTAGAAAAGTATTAACAACAATCCTTTCATAACTTCCTGACTATGAGGGTGGCTGTGAAGATTACATGAGGGGTTGGGGTTGTGGCTCAGTGGTAGAGCACTTGCCTAGCATGTGTGAGGCCCTGGATTTGAATCTCAGTACCGCATATAAATAAAATAAAGGTCCATTTATAATATATATAAAAGATTACATGAAATTAGCTAATTATATATATATATATATTTTAAGATTACATGAAATTAGCTCATCCAGCATTGGAAAGTGTTTCTCAAACTGAAGGATTCTTCAGGGTTAGGTGTTATTACCTTGATCTTTCAGGGTACACACTGTAGGAGGTTGTGTTAAGTTAAAGCCCTTTTTCTGTCATTGCTTCTCTCTTGCCTTTTCCTATTGGATAATTACTTCAATCTTAATCAGTGGTCACCATTGAGGAAGGGTTAGTAGTTTCTCCTTTTGGAAGCTGTTTATAGTCTCTTGTTGGGTAAGTTTCCAAGCCTAACTCTGAGGATGACCTGTCTTACAACATGGATTTATTTTCTGCAGTTCTGCCATGCTACCCAGCATTCACTACCCTGCAATAATGGGCTTATGATTTCCTGTATTGCTTTACTCCTAATGCTTCTAATAAGTTGTTTTCTAGCATGGAGTCATACACAAATTTCTTAAAGTCATTATATAGACCATGTTTAAAAAAAATATATATATATATAAATTTTATAATATATAGCATATTTTTAATATACATAGGATTCAGCAGACCATGTTATGACGTCTGACTGACTATATCATGAATAAAACAGTTACTAAGCATCTATTGTATGGAGAGCTCTCTGTTAGGCTCAGAGAAGGTACAAAATATGTCAGAGTTCTTGTGCTCAAGAAGTGCATTTTTGTTAGGTGAGCAAACAGGAAAAGTTCATTTAGATTTAATTAATTGGCTAATTGGTTATTTGTAACTATCTTTTTAGGGCACTTTCTAAGATTCATTTTCTTTCTTTCTTAGCAAGATAGCTTTGCCACATAGATCAGTTTTTCCATGGGCATATGAAATTTCAAAACATGCTTCCTTTTGATTCACCCAGCATGTTTGTAACTTAGTTCAAACATGTACCAAGTTAAAACATGTAAAACTGTATTATTGTTACTACTTAAAGAATTGTAACACAGGGAGGTTTCAGAAGTTGTTTAAATTCTCATAGAATTTCTAGAATAGAGCTAGACTAAGAGGGAGAAGAATATAATGGTTATACATTTAGATTTCCAAGTTCTCAAATCCTAGCTTTTCCACTTACTTAAAAAACTATGTATATGGGAGTAAGTTCTATAATTACCAGTGCCTTGTTCCCTTATATATACATTGGGAATGATATTGTACCTGTTTCATAGGGTTATTGTGAGGAATAAGTTAGAATACACACTCCATAATTATCATCATCATCAAAGTTATTTCTGGCCTAAAAGAAGTTCTTAGCAATTATTAAACATCAATTTATTAATGTGATTGGGGATTTCTGGTACAAAGTGAAATTTTTTCTGTTTCTTTAATAAACATATTGTTTTTTGAATTATGAAAATTATATGAAAAACATAAATATGTAAGATGAAGTAAATTCTCTTAAAGTAATAAACAGTTTTATTTAAAGTAATAAACATCTGCTGCTTTCTTTTCCAAATTATATGGAAAGCTCAGACATATTTATGTAAGAGAAAGTAAATTTGTATAAAAGTTATTTTTAAAGGCTTCATATTCTAATGTTAGAATAAATTTTTTAATGAATAATTTTTGGCTTGCTTTAAATTATTTTTTTTGGATATATTTGTAAAAATAGAATGGGTGAGAAAATTTGAACATTTGTGAACAATTTTGATAAATTTTGCCAAATTGATTTTGGTATGTTGGTGGCAATTTACAAACCCACCAGCTGTGTATATTAAAGACTGTCAATCTTAGGGTGATATAAAAAGTCAGGAACATTTTATTTTTTTGTTCTCACTTGTTTTCTAGGCAATAGGAAATTTCATTGTAATTTTAACATGTATATTTTGAGGCTGACAATTTTTTTTATTTTACTGGCAACTTTTTTCCCCTAGTGAGTGGTGAATGCAGATTACAACCAGGTCTATCGAGAGTCAAAACTTCTTTTATCTTGCCTTTGTCTTTTAGCAATATGTTTTTAGGCATAATATAAGTACTCATTTAAAAATGCAAGATGAACAAATGAACCATAAAGACTTTCTAATATCATTAAAATGTGTAATATTAATTTTATTACTATATTATATTTCTGTATTTTTATATTTCCATCGTTTGCTAAATAGTGTTTTGCTTTTAAGATTATTTCCTTTGAGTAGAATTTCAAAAGTAATACAAAGGACACAATTATCTTAAAATTTTATTTTAATAGTATCTTATTTTAATTTTTAACTTAAGATATAATAAATGCACATGATTAAAAATTCAAATAAAATGAAAAATATAAACAATGAAAAATAATACTCCTGTACTTGGATTTTCCAAGTTCCTTTCCTTCCCACCAGAAGCAGCCAGTAATATCAGTTTCTTGGAAATACTGGCTGATAATGTTTTTCTGATAATTGGGCTTTTTAATTTAGCTGAGGTGGTACTTATTTCTAGTAATTTTTATTACTTAAAAAAAATTCAGCGTTGATGAACTCAATAGCTATATCTCTTTCAAGAAGTCTTGGATTTATAATTTAAACTGAAGGACTTCCTGCTGTCACACAGCTTGAGTATTTATAGACAGCCTACTCCAGGTCAGATTCCCTGAGGAATCTCAACTTTTCTCAAATTGTTCTCCAGATTTCAGGCCTTTGTTCCTGCACAAGTAAGGATTTTGAAGGAAGAGGACCAGAGTTGAAAGGAACAAAATAAGGAAGCAAACATAAAGCTGCTGAAGGAGGAGAAAGAGGGGAAGGAGCAATGGGGCAACCAGGACAGAGACCTAGGAAAACAGAAGGAAAAGTGCTTTCTTCTCACCATCTCTGGCTGCTGGGTTAATGTTTGCGAAGAGGTCCGGAGAGATCCTCTCTGAATGGAATTGCGCCTGTAGCCACTTCTGTTTTCGTGACAACACTTCTATTCTATGGCTTTGTTGCTGAGGATATATCTAGTCTCACCTCTGGGGCTTCCTCTGATGTCCACCAGATTGGAGATCCAAGATGGAACATTTTCTACTGCTCTCTAGGTCATTGAAGAGCCTTTCCCTAGTTCTTTTCCTGTGTGCTCCAAGAATTTCATGTTTTTTTTTCTTCTTCTTTTTTTTAACCCCCATCTCAAATGGCTTTCAATGATCTGAAGGGGAATTGAACTCAACCTGTGGAACAAAAATGCTCAGTCCCGTTTTAAAATTTATTTTTAATTGGCAAGCAATAATTGTGTACATTTATGAAGTGCAATATGATATTTTGATTTCTGTATACAATATGAAAAAACTCAGTTAACATGTCCATTACTTCACTAATTTATCATTTTGTGTGTGTATGTGTGTGTGTGTGTGTGTGTGTGTGTGTGTGGTGAGAACACTAAACATCTATTTTAGTAATTATGAAATATACAAATGTTATTGTTAATTGTGGTAACCATGTAGGGCAATAAATCACTGAAACATATTTCTCCAATCTGAGATGCCGAATCTTTGATCAACTTCTTCCCTTTCTCCATCTCTCCTTCTTCCTCTCCATCTCAGTTAACACCTTTCTACTGTTTCAATGATATTGATTTCTTTAGATCATACAGTATTTGTTTTTCTATGCCTAACATATTTTACTTGGAATGATGTCACCTGTTCCATCCATCGTATCTCAAATGACAGAACTTCCTTAATTTTTAAGGCTATATAGTATTGCTTTGTGAAAATAGACCACCCTTTCTTTCTCCATTAATCTCTTGATAGACACTTAGGTTGCTTCCATATCTTGGCTATTGTGAATGATGTGAAATGAACACAGGAGTGCAGATGCCTCTTTGACATTCCAATTTCAGTTTCTTTGTATATATTTCCAGAAGTAGGATTGCTGGGTCATGTGGCAATTCTATTTTTAGTTGTTTGAGGAATCTCCATATTATTTTCCAAGATGGCTGTGCTAATTTGCATCCCTACCAGTGATGTGCGAGAGTCCCCTTTTCTCCACAACCTCTCTCATACTTTTCTTATTCACATTTATGATGATAGCCATTTTAACATATGAGAGGTGTCTCATTGTAGTTTTAATTCACATTTCCCTGATGATTAGAGATGCTGAGCAATTTTTCATATATCTATTGTCCAGTCATATCTCTTCTTTTCAGTAATGTCTGTTTAGATCTTTTACTCACTTTAAAATTGTGTGGCTTTTTTAACTATCAAATTGTTTGGATTTCTTAAACATTTTGAGTATTAACTTATTATCAGATGCATGGTTTGCAAATATCTTTTACCAATTGGTATGTCATTTCTTTACTTTATTGATTCCTTTGTTGTGCAGAACATAAGTTTATGTAAACCTGTTCATCCATTTTTGCTTTTGGTACCTGTGCTTTTAAAGACCTAACCAATAAATCCTTGTCTGAATCAATGTCATGGAGCTTTTCCTTATTTTTCCTCAAGTAGTTTTATTTTTAGGTCTTAAGTTTAAGATTTTTATTCATTTTGAATTGATTTTTGTATATGGTGTAAGATTTCATTCTTCTGAAATGTGGGCACCCAGTTTTCTCAGCACCATTTATAGAAGATGTGTCCTTTCCCCCATTTGTGTGCTGGCACTCTTCTAAACTCACTATTGTGTTCCATTGGTCACTGTGTCTGTTTTTATGCCAGTACTTTGCAGTTTTGTTGAAGGTTTAGAAACAGGTTTCTCTCGTTCTATGTTAATCTCGGAGTGTCTGCTCCTCTCCTTCAACACACCTTTTCAGCCTCTTCAGGGACCACATTTTTGTTTATTGGAATCCATGAATCTAAGAATAATTTTCCAAATGACATAAAAATGTGAGTGATGATGCTAGTGGACTGATATGTATGACATTGACAGTCAGGGATAAGAATTTCCCTGGATATTCTGATATAGTGCTTGCTCTAATCTTTAAAATTGTTGCTTCCTCGCCCATTTTTTGAGAAAAACACCAAAAGAAGAACAAGATTAGATAACTTACACAATGCAGGCAAGATCTATCATAAAATTACAGTAATTAATGTGATATGGCCTTGGCATAAGACTAAATGAAAAGATCAATGAAAAAGACTGTCAAAAGGTAAATCTCATCTGTAAGGACATTTGATTTATGGCTAAGAGAGGCAGTGTGGGAGAAAGGTAGTCTTTCTAGTAAGAGGTTTGGGTAGTTTAGTAAGTCAGTGGAGAAAAATGAATCTTGATCCTTTTCTTATATACAAAGTCATTTCAAGACTAAATATGAATGAAGGGAAGGGAGGGGGAATGGGAATAGGAAAGACAGTAAGTAGAATGAATTGAACATTTCTAATCTATGTGCATATATGAATATATAACCAATATAATCCTAATCATGTACAACCAGAAGAATGAGAAGTTCTACTCCATGTATGCATAATATGTCAAAATACATTCTACCATTCTACTATCAGGCATAACTAATAAGAACAAATAAAAAAGTATTAAAAAAGACTAAATGTGAAAGCTAAAAATTATAAACTTCTGGATGACAGCATAGAAGAATATATTCATGATCTTTGGGTAGACAAGAATTTCATAAAAAACTAAAACTTAAAAAACTAAACATAAAGGAAAAGATCAAAAAGCAAGAGTATTTTTTAGCTTAAACCTTTTTTCCCCCCTCATGAAGTTGTTGGGTTGTAGAGTAAGTGTATGCTTAGTTTTATTAAAACAAATCCACCCCGTTGCTTTCATAAATGGTTGCACATTTTCTGTCCTCCCAGCAGTGTATGAGAATTCAGGGCTTCTGCATTCTCATCAGCACTTGGTATTGTCAGTGTTATTAATTTAACCATTCTGATTTGTCTGTCATTGCAAGTTCTTGTGATTTTAATTTGCATTTATGTGATAACTAATGCTATTGAACATCTTTTCACATGCATTTTGGGTTTGCAGGTCACTTTCTTTAAGAAATACCTTTCTTTAAGAAGTGTTTGTTCAAATACTTTTACTGTTTTTATTTGGGTTGTTTGTTATATAATCTCTTCAAAAAAGTTCTTCATATATCCTGGGTTCAAGTCTTTTCTTGAACATATGTAGAGCAAATATTTCCACCCAGTCCATAGCTTGCCTTTTCATCTTCTTAATGGTATCTTTGGAAGAATAGAATTAAAATAATGTAATGAACTTATATTTATATGTTATCCTTTTTGTTTTCTGTTAGAGAAAGCTTTGCCAAATATAAGGTTGCAAAGATTTTTGTACTGTTCTTTTTCCTAGAAACTTTATAGTTTTAACTTTCATATTATGCCTAAGAGTGATTTCAAATTCATTTTTCTGTGATATAAAGTAAGAACTGCAATTTAGCTATTTCCATACTCTTTATCGATGAATTTATTCTTCATTAATTTACTCTCTGAATTATTTTTAATAAAAAATTAATTGACTACATATTTTTGTATATATTTTTGATATCTATTCTGTTTATTGGTGTTTATATCTATGCCAATATTATACTGTCTTAATTTTGTTGATTTATAATAAATCTAAAATGTAAGTCTTCCAACCTTCACCATTTGTAAGTTGTTTCTAAATTTGTTTTAGCTGTTCTAGGGTCTTTGCATTACATACAAATTTTGGAATTAGCTTTGCAATAATTTTCTTTCCCTTCCTTCCTTCCTTTGCTTTCTTTTCTGGAAGTACAAGGGATGAACCCAGGGATGCTCTATTACTGAACTACAGCCCCAGCCCTTTTTGTTTTGAGATAGTCTTGCTAATTTGCCAAGGTTGGCATTGAATTTGCCATCTTCCTGCCTCAGCTTCCTGAATTGTTGGGATTACAGGTATGGGCCACTGGATCCAGCTTTAACATTGCAAATTTCCATAAACAAAATATCCTGTTTCAGTATTGATTTGGATCGTATCCACTATATAGACCACCTGGGAAAACCTAACATTTTAGTAATATTAAGTTTTTCAAGACAGAAGTATAGCTTCTCTCCACAATTTATATCTTCTGTAATTTCTCTGAGCAATGTTTTCTAATATTCAAGGTAGGGATGCATATATTTTTATTAAATTTATCCCTGAGTATTTCATATATATATGTGTGCCCTTTTAAGTAATATGTTTATAAATTGAATTTTTCAGTTTTTCATAGATATTATGTGAAATCCAGTTAATTTTGCATTAATTCTATATCTTATTCACTAAATTCACTTATTAGTGCATTACTTTAGTATTTTGCATATACAATTGTGTTGCCTGCAAAGGATAACTATTTTACTTTTTTCTTTCTAATCTGTGTGATTTTTTTTCTCGTCTTTTTTCCCCTAACTACAGCCTCCCATATAATGTTGAATGGGAGTGGTGAGAATGAGTATCTTTGCTTTAATTTTGATTTTAGGTGAAAAGGCCTTGGTTTTTTACCTTGTGTATAGTGTCAAATGTATGCTTTATATAGATGCTCTTTATCATCTTGAGAAGCTCTCTATTATTTCCAGTACACTGAGAGTTATTTTTTTAAAATCTTGAATGTTAGCAAAATTTTAAATGTTGATTTTTGTTTTATGTTTGTTTGCCTCTGTTGAGTGAGATATATGGTTTTTCTCATTTTTTTGTTAATATACTGAATTATATTGACTCATTTTTGCAAGATAAAATATGCTAGATATGCTGAATTATTGCCAGGTAAACTATCTTGCATTCTTGAGATAAGCCCCACTTACTCCCAATCCATTACTCTTTAATATATTACTGAATTTGATTTTCTAATAATTTGTTAAGGATTTTTATATATCTGTTCATGAAAGTTATTGGTCTGGGTTTTCCTATCTTATAATGTCTTTATAAGGTAGTTTGGGATGTGTTTTTTTTTAAATTTCCATTTTCTAAAAGTTTGTAAAGAATTGTTATTTCTTTCCTAAAGGTTTGATAGAATCTACCAGTAAAGCCTTGATCCAATTTCATTTTTCACCCCATTGTCACTGTTGTGTTCCAAGATTTTATCAACTTTTCTCTTAGCTAATATCACTTCCTTCTTCTTCTGCTAGAATATTATGAAGCCAGGTACGATGGTGTACACCTGTAATCCCAGCCACTGAGGAGGCTGAGGCAGGAGGACTGTGAGTTCAAATCTAGCCTCAGCAAAAGCAAGATGCAGAAGCAACTTAGTGAGATCCTGCCTCTTACTAAAATACAAAATAGGACTGGGGATGTCTTCAGCAGTTGAGTGCCCCTGAGTTCAATCCCCAGTACCCTCCTGCAAAAAAAGAGAATATTGTGAAAGAAATCTATGAAAGCATTGATGTGCAGATGTCACTGCTCTACTTAGAACAATGTCCTTGTTTGTTGGGTGTCGCCTTCACCTCTTATTTAACTCCTGCTGCTCTCAGAAGAGCACTCACGCTTCCCACAATCTGTGTCCAGCTTTTCTCTAAACTGCCCTCCTCTCCACTGCTTCCTCCACATTGCCCTCTTAGATGTTCATCGAGAATTCTGTGCTCTATGAGTTTGGTGTTCTTTTTAATGCCAGTGAGTATTCTGGAGCATTCTATTTCGGCGGCTCAACTTTTCTCTCAAATGGTGCCTTATTTTCGAAGGCTTCTCTAATCCCCACAGGCATGATTATGTAAAAATCCAGTTAATTTTGTATTGACTTTGTATCTTATTACTCTGCTTAATTTTATTTTTTTTCCTCTTTTT